TGCATGCTGAGAAATAAAAACTTCATCTTTTAACAATAATGGTAACCCGCCAGACGGTGGACATACAGATCTATATCTATTATACATTTCGTATGTCTAGGCGCATATGCCCAGGAGAAACTTTAAAATTTTGCAAATCTTAGGGCTCAACACATGGTGAAACTACGGACTGCATATCCATTATGTGTTCCGTATGTTCACCCGTATGTGACCCAAAAAAATTCCCATTTTCACAAGGCATATACGAGGGAAGAATGGCATATACGAGCCACATATGCATTATACGCTCCACATGTGTCATCTTCCCCAGTCCACTTTCGAACAAGTTTTCAGTTAAGCCCATAATTTCATCACCTACCTAAAACAAACTCATACCTACATCCCTAATTCAACAGTAAGCAAACAAGGAAAAAATAGGTTGATGCCATATTCACATAATGCAACAAAATTATTGAAGAGCCGAGTACCAAAACGAGTACATGATTGTTGATGTACAGTGTAATTAGAAGAATGAGATCGAGAGTAGGTGGTGCGTGAGTCTTTTTCTTGAAACTTCCGTGTTCATATGTGAGAGAGAATGAATGATATATCTGTTAAACTTGATGGAGGGAATTTATTTTGGGTAGTTTCAGAGAATCTCAATACATGTGTTGTGCAATTTCTGGAATGGGGCGGAATGGGAATGGATTCTAGGTTTTTATACGTTTTCAAGGATGCGGTTGAGCTACGGCCGCATGATGGGATATACAGACCAATATGCGGCCACTTACCTGGGTTTCCATGAGCTGATGTGGCATGTTAAGATTCCAGCATAAGGTGTCTTGTATAATCGAGATGTGGCATGCATATTCACCGTATGTCCATCCTTACTCTCCTGCTCTCATGACTTCATCTTGTCTTCAACAGACAGTTCACATGCGAATCATAGGTAGGATATACGAGCCGTATGTTGGTCCGCATGTGAACTACTGAAACCTTGCAATTCCTTAACTCCCATGTCCTCATCATACGGTTCACATGCGGCTCACATGTCAGATATGCATATCGTTTTCCGTTCCGCATGTGAACCACCTATGTCATCTGAAAGTTCCAACTCTCTGATCTTCAATATATGGTTCACATGTGGGCTGCATGTCAGATATACACTCGATAAATTGTTCCGCATGTGATCCTCTACCCTTAAATTACCAATATCAACTCCACTCCTCTTGTACTAGATTTTTTCTTGAATTTTTAGATGCATAAAACATAAATAAATATTTAAACAGTAAGAGAAGGAAAATTCAAAATACAAAATGTAAACATGGATTGCCTCCCAAGAAGTTGATTTAACGTTGCGGCACGATGGTTCTACCTTTTCACTATGTGGCAGCCATGGAGGTTGGTGGGGGCAGTCTTTCAGTTGGAACTTCTCTACAAGTTATCCTTCATCACCAGTCCCAAAATAGTGCTTCATCCTTTGGCCATTTACCTTGAAAGTTCGAGTCCCATCTTCGAACTCCAATTGTCACGATAAAAAATCCCACCAAATGGTTGTGATGTCACCTAACACGTCGACTAGGCAAACCAATCTCACAGCAACCGAATAAATAACCGCATTGAAGTAATATAATAAGTCTAATAGGGATTTATAGAATAAATAGGTCTAGAATGGTTTTCCAAGTATACGCAAGTATACGTGGCCGTCAAGTAATAAAGTGACTCGAAAGTCGGATGTCGAACCCATAGAGACTTAGATCCATCGTTAACTAAGCAAACTAAAATCAGTTAATTGTCCAAGATAATCAAGGGTGATGTTTTTCTATTAATCTACTATTGCAAAAATTAAACAAGTAACAACTAATTTATCAAGAATGCAAATGTGTATGATGAGATTTTAATTCAAAGGAGATGAAAATTCCAGGGTTGTGGTTGGTTTATCAATCCTATTAAGTTCAATAATCACACTTGTTAATCCAGATTATCTATGGTTGCTAATTAACCAGATCATTTATATGAATAGCATGTTCCCACAATACTACTCGCCTGTCCACAATATATCAATCATATATTCCTATGGTATTAAGTCTATCATGAACGAATATAATACGGTATTTAACTAAGCAAGACCGTTAGGTATATTCCTATCCTAACCGCAAAAAATTTCCCCGAGCCACGAGATCAAAAACAAGCTCTCTTTAATTCTACTTTAATCTAAACACGGCTTTCCCAAGTATAGCATAGATAGTATGGTGAATTTGTAGCTACAACAATTCACAAGTTAAAACTTAGAATTAAAGAAATAACCACAAGATGATAATCCGAATCAACAAAGATGTACTTAATAAACGTTAATAATCATGTCAACCACAACCCTAGAAACTAGAGTGCTTAGCCACTCATGTTCGTAGTAACAACTTTCCAAGTATTTTACATAAACAAATTACAATGAAAAGATGAAGGACTGAAGAACTCAATGATTTTCTCCTCCAAAGAATGTTCCCAATGTCTCTTCTCCTTCCAAAAGAGTCTCCTTAGGTCTAAGGTATGTCTAAAGTCCTCCAAATAATGTTTTTACATGTATTTATACCAAGTAGGGTTGGGCCAAGACGAAATCTCCCTTTCCTAGCCGGAATAGGAAAACTTGCAAACTTAATGCTTTCCATGCGTCGCACTGTGCGTCGCCCAGTGCGTTGCACTAATGCTTTTTCCTGTTAGACCACAAAAAACCCAGTCTCTGAACTTTGGAGATTTCTGACAAAACTTTGCACTAATGTGTCGCACAGTGCCTCGCACTAGTGCATTTCTTTAGCAATTCCTTCTTCCTTAAATTTTGACGTCTAGAATTGTTCCTCGACCCCCAAACACGATCCCGGCTTAATCCCTTGGGCTTTTACTCAGACTTCAAAGCTCCAAATAGCTCGAATTCGTTCCATAACATCTACATAGCTCAGAATTACTCCTACAAGACATAAAATACGCAATTAGTGCAAAACACTAGCGATTAAAGCTCAAACACTATAAAAGTGCAGAAAATTAGAGTGCGATAAGCGACTAAAATACGCAATTATAGCCTGCCATCAACACCTCACACTTAAACCATTGCTCGTCCTCGAGCGATCAAACTACACTTTATATAGTCACAACCTTTTTAAACAATCCTCCTAACTCATTACACCAAGAATATTTAAAATAGACTAGGCACAATAGTGTAACATCATCACCTCAAGATTTGACTCACAAGCACCATGCATTTTTCACAACCCGCTCACTTACTCTAATGTAGAGGTCAAGCATTACCTTTTCTTTATGAATCAAGTACCCTCACACAACAAAAGAGGGTAGTTCCACACTCAATAAAATTTAAGAACAATTAGGAACTCAAGATAGAAAAAATTCTCTCACTCTCAGAAAAAACATTCATATGCCACAAAAGATGCACCCTAGGCTTGCCCGTAGTGTACTGCTCAACTAATCGAGCTCATTTAGTCTAAGATCAAGTAGGACTTTAATTGGTTGTAATGTAGGCTACAGGTCGGGTAGGATACGTTTGGATATAAGAGTGACTACACCTCCCTAAGCACGTTAATACATACACTTTAACATTTAAAACCCCACATTTATGTCAAACCATAACTCCACCTTCACATCAATGTATATTAACTCCATACTTCTTTAAGCACAATTACAACAAGAGTCACCACTATCAAGGAATATATTTCACAACAATACAACTATTTTTTTCTTTCTTTCTTTTTCAATTCAAGTGGCTCTTACTTTTTCAAAATAGTGCACCTTTCTCCTTATTTCATTAGTTCCACTCAAAAGCCAAACCAACCACCCCACACTTTAACTTTTACAAAGTTCATTACAATTCAAGTGCTCATGAGAGGTGAAAAGGTTAAAATAGATGGTTAATTTAAACAAATGGGTAGGGCTTGTAATGTGATTGCCAAAGAAATAGGATTATAGGCTCGAAGGGTTAACTACAATATATAATAATTAGGCGGGTAAAATATATAATTGGTTCAACAAAGAAACGCCTATATCACTTCCAAGACTGAACAAAACTACTATTTTGCTTTGCAAACACACGGGCAAGTTCTAGACATCTAATGCAATGCACAGAATAACACAAAAACATCACACACACATGGCACATAACTCACTCAGGATTGGACTCATCAAGACACTCTAGTCAAAGCAGTTGAGCAAAGTTAAGATCATACGATTTAAGGTACTTACACAAGAGTCAAAAACTGAGCCTAAGTGTCACAACCAAAGTACTCACTATTCTCAAGGCATAACAAAGTTAAGATATATTACTTCAATTCAATTCATAGCACAATGGCTCCTACTCCTAAAAAAAATAAAACTAACTACACCCGGTTCAAAAAAAAACCCTTGGAAAAGAATCGCGACACAAAGAAAAACCAAGGGGGAATTATTACACTACCTACAAAGAAAATCTTTTTGTCTTTTTTCTTTAGACTTAAATCCCTCAAGAAAACTGTCTAGGAGATCCATCATCGGGAAAAGTCCAATTTTCTACTTTTGTTTTTCGATTTTTCTTAGGAGCTACAAAAATACTACACAACTACGAAAACAAAAATAAGAAGTTAATATTTTTCTAACATACTACTACTAATTATCTAGAGAAATTCTTCCACCCTACACTTAAAGGAGTGCAGTGTCCCCAATGCACAAATAAAGCAAAACAATAACGAGGGTGGACAAGAAACTCCCTAAAAGGCCAAAGGCCGAAGCAATAGCGGCTCACGGGATACTCTGACTTCCCCCAGGCATGGTCCTTTGTGTGGGCACCCCACACTTAGTTTTCACCATCTAGCTCGCTTTTGCACTCTTCCAATGGCTTTGCTTCCTATTCTTATAATCCTACAAAACAAAAACAAACACTACAACAATAATAAGATAAAAATAGAAATAAAAGAAAGCAGTAAAGCTAGGTTGCCTCCCAACAAGCGCCTGATTTAACGTCGTGGCACGACATAAAATATCATCTAATCATTGGCAAGTAACACCTTCAACTTCTGACAATCAAAGTCACCTCCATAATAGTGCTTTACTCTTTGTCCATTTACTAAGAACGTTCTCTCGCCACCTAAGACGTGCAACTCAATTGCACCATGTGAAGTGACTCTCACTACCTCATACGGGCCCGACCATCTCGATTTGAGCTTCCACGGAAGGAGTCTCAACCTCAAATTGAACAAGAGAACCAATTGGCGCGGTTCGAACTCGCTATGGTGGATATGCTTATCATGCCAACGCTTGGTATTTTCTTTATATAACTTGGCACTCTCATACGCATGCAAGCGAAACTCATCAAGCTCGTTCAATTGCATCAACCGCTTTCTACCCGCTAATTCTGCATCAAAGTTCAGCATCTTTATCGCCCAATAGACCTTGTGCTCAAGTTCCACCGGTAAATGGCATGCTTTCCCATAAACCAGCTTGTAAGGGGAGGTTCCGATTGGAGTTTTTTAGGCGGTCCGGTATGCCCATAGAGCATCATCAAGCTTTGCAGCCCAATCTTTCCTACTTGCACTAACCGTCTTCTCCATAATCTGCTTTATCTCTCTATTTGAGACTTCAACTTGTCGACTTGTCTGAGGATGGTAAGCGGTTGCAACCTTATGTTTGACCCCGTATTTCGCTAAGACATTGTCCAATAGCTTGTTACAGAAATGGGTGCCCCCATTACTTATCATCACTCTCGGAGTGCCGAACCTTGTAAAGATATGCTTTTTCACAAAGTTTACCACAACCTTGGCATCATTGGTAGGAAGAGCGATGGCCTCCACCTACTTCGACACATAGTCAACGGCCACCAAAATGTACTTACAACCACTGGACGAGGGAAACGGACCCATAAAATCAATTCCCCACACATCAAAAAGTTTAACCTCCATAATACTGTGCAATGGCATCTCATGCCTTTTCATAATTATTCCTATTCTCTGGCACCTATCACACCCCCCTCACGAACTCATGGGCGTCTTTAAACTCCCTAGGCTAATAGAAACCAGATTGCAACACCTTAGCTGTCATTTTGTCACCCGCATGATGACCACCATAAGGCGACACATGACAGCCGTATAAGATAACATTTATTTCAGATTCGGGCACATATCTTCTCATTAACTGATCGGTACAAGATTTGAACAGAAATGGCGCATCCCACACATATGATCTCACCTCTCGCAAGAACTTCTTTTTAGCATAAGGTTCAAGATCAGGCGGCATTTCTCCACTGGCCAGATAGTTTACAAAATTTGCATACCATGGAACCTCCTCAACAGTAACAACCAACAATTGCTCATCCGGGAAGGTTTCCTTAATGACATCTCCCTCAGCTACATGATTCCGAGTTTCTAACCTAGATAAGTGATCAACCACTTGATTCTCTGTTCCTTTACGGTATCGGATCTCCAAGTCAAATTCCTACAAGAGTAAAACCCAACGGATTAGCCTTGGTTTAGCATCTTTCATTTCGAACAAATACCCGATAGTTGCATGGTCTGTGTAGACGATGACTTTGGTGCCAACCAAATAGGCCCAAAATTTATCGACCGCCCACACTATAGCAAGCAACTCCTTTTCTGTCACAGTATAATTTATTTGAGTAGGAGTGAGAGTCTTGCTTGCGTAGTAAATGGAGTGAAATATTTTGCTCCTTCTCTGGCCCAATACAGCCCCAATTGCACCATCACTAGCGTCACACATCAGCTCAAATGGCTCGTTCCAGTCAGGAGCCACTATGATTGGTGTGCACTCACTAACTTCTTTTTCAGCTCCTCGAATGCTTTCAGACAAGCATCGTCAAACTTTAACGACACATCCTTCTCTAACAACCTACACAAAGGAGAGGAAATTTTGGAGAAATTCTTTATAAATCGGCGATAAAAACTTGCATGTCCCAGAAAACTCCTAACTCCTTACACTGAAATTGGTGGTGGCAACTTTTCAATTGCTTCCACCTTAGCCTTGTCAACTTCCAGTCCATCTTTGGACACCTTGTGTCCTAGCACTATACCTTCACGTACCATAAAATGGCATTTTTCCCAATTCAGTACCAGATTAGTCTCCTCACATCTATCAAGCACTTTAGCAAGATTGGTCAAGCATTCATCAAAAGAAGAACCAAACACAGAAAAATCATCCATAAAGACTTCCACAAATTGTTCCACCATATCGGTGGAAATAGCCATCATACACCTTTGAAAAGTTGCAGGTGCATTACACAACCCGAATGGCATTCTCTTAAATGCATAAGTTCCATAAGGGCATGTAAAAGTGGTCTTTTCTTGATCTTCCTGGGCAATAGCAATCTGATTATACCCCGAATAGCCGTCAAGGAAATAATAGTATTCATGTCTGGCTAACCTGTCAAGCATTTGATCAATGAAGGGGAGAGGGAAGTGATCTTTTCGTGTAGCATTATTCAACTTCCTATAATCTATGAATATTCGCTAACCAGTCACAGTCCTAGTTGGGATTAGTTCATTTTGTTCATTCACTACAATAGTCATACCCCCCTTCTAGGTACACATTGAACATGGCTTACTCACTTACTATCGGAGATAGGAAACACTATACCTGCGTCGAGCCACTTAATCACTTCTTTTCTTACCACCTCTTTCATGATTGGATTTAGGCGGCGTTGATGTTCCATGCTAGGCTTGTGTCCCTCCTCCATGAGTGTTTTGTGCATGCCGAATGCATGGCTAATACCCTTTATGTCAGACATTGTCCAACCAATGGCATGCTTGTGCTCCCTCAGCACCTTTAAGAGCTTTTCTTCGTGCAATTTAGACAAATGAGAAGAAACAATCACAGGTAAAGTGTTAGAACTTCCCAAATATGCATAATGAAGATGAGATAGTAAGGGTTTAAGTTCCAGTTTTGGGGCCTCCTCAACTGAGGGTTTAGGGGGCAGGCCGATTGGCCTATCTAGAGGCTCAAATTGGGATCTTTCTCTTATGTATTCGCAACATGCATCCAGAATTTGCAACATCTCCTCAACCTCTTCTTCACGTTCCAAGTGATTGAACAACATCAATGCCTTTTCTAGTGCATCTTCTTTAAACGCACTTGGCTCTATGGCTGGTTCATTTATCTCCACCACAAAAATCATGGCCAGGTCCTCGTAATGACGAGGCAACTGAATGGCTCGATATACATTGAAGACTACTTCTTCATTGTCCACCCTCAGGATCATCTTACCTTCTCGGACTTTGATAATTCATCTCCAATGGCCAAGAAAGGTCATCCCAAGATGATAGGAACTAACTCATCAGCCTCGTAGTCCAGGTTGATAAAATCTACAGGGAAAATAAACTTCCCAATCTGCAGCAAGACGTCCTCAACTACCCCCTCAGGATAAACATAAAATCTATCAGCTAACTGTAGCATCACCGTGGTGGGTCTCGGAGCTCCTACGCCCAATTGTTGGAATACTGACAACGGCATCAGATTGATACTTGCACCCAAATCACACAAGGCTCTACCCACATCTATTTCACCAATCCTCACGGGTATGGTAAAACTACCCGGATCCTTAAGCTTTTGTGGAAGCTTATGTTGAATCCTTGAAGTGCACTCCTCAGTAAGTATCAAACTCAGTTAACCTCTTTTCATTTTCAACTATATCCTTAATATATTTTGCATATTTTGGGACCTCACGGAGCATGTCCACCAAAAGGATGTTCAAGTGTATCTGCTTTAGCATATCTAGAAATTTGTGAAACATGTGGTCATCATTCTTCTTTCTCAATCTTTGAAGAAAAGGGGGTGGCACCCTCTCTGATATTTTCTCAGACTCTGTTTTGTTTCTCTCATCTACCTCTACAGGTTTTGTCACTCTTTCTTCTTCGAGCCCAGACTGCTCATTTTTCTTCTTAGGCACTTCTACCAACTCTCTCCCATTTCTCAACGTTACAACATTGACTTAAGGATTTTTCTCTGTATCACTTGGGAGAGCTCCAGCGGGTCTAATATTATGATTGTTAGCCATTTGCCCAAATTGCCTCTCTAGATTTCTGAACTATGTGCGCAATTGTTGATTCTCAGCCATAACTTTCTGATTGTCTAGCTAGAGCTTTTTCATCATGTCAGTCAAACTCTCTTCTGCTTGTTGTGGGGGTTTAGTTGGCTGATTGTAGTTAGCTTGAGGCCTGATATTCTAATTTCCACCCCAAGAGAAGTTAGGATGATTCCTCAGGTTCGGATTGTATGTGTTACTATATTGAGCATTTTGATTCATCGACCCTCTAGCTTGTTGCCCCACATAGTAGATGGATTCAGGATTCACGGTGCATATGTCACTTGTGTGACCTTCATCACATAACTCGCAGCAAGTAGACATCTGTTGCACATGATGCATCTGTTGTGCTTGGTGCATTGTCCTTTTATTCATCTGATTTGCTAACCTTGCTATATCTGCCCTCATGGCTGAGAAATCATCAAGCTCGATCACACCTGCTGCCTTTTGGTTAAGTGCTCTTCGTGGTTCCTCATCTATTTGCCAATTATTATCATTAGCAGTGAAATTATTTAGTAGGATCTGGATCTCACTATACGGTCTTGCCATGCAACTACCCCCACATGCTGAGTCAAGATTCATCTTTGATGCCTCGTCTAACCCATCAACGAAAGTGTGACCCAACACCTCATCTGTCTGACAAAGATATGGGCAGTCTTTGAGTAGCTTCTTGTATCTTACCCAAGCTTGTCGAAGAGTCTCGCCATCTCGTTGAAACCCAAGAATCTGGCTCCACAGTGACTTTGTCTTCTTAGTGGGAAAAAACTTGATTAAGAATTTCCATGCTAGATCATCTCAATTATGGATTGAGTTCGCAGGCTCCTTTTGCAACCATTCCTTAGCTTCCCCCAGCAGTGAAAAGGGAGACAATGTCAGCCTGACATAGTCCTTGGAAACGTATGGATAATTGTAAATGTCCGTAATTTCCAGGAAGTTCTGAATGTGCCTCTACGGGTCTTCATGAGATAGACCCACATATTTCCATATGGATTGAATCAGCTGTACCATGTATTGTTTGAGTTCAAAGTGACATGTGATATCAGGCTTCACAATCGCCTGAGTCATATTAGCCAGATTGGGCCTTGCAGTTTCTATCACCGGATGCTCTTCACTACTTGTCATCTCTATTGGATATGGTTGAACTACGATGTCCAACTCTTTTTTAATTCTAGTTCTAGCTTCGACTTCCCTCCTCACTCTATGAAGTGTTCGTTTGATTTCAGGATCAAGAGGAAGGAGATTGTTTGTGCTTCTACTCCTCCGCATTCAAGAGAAGAGCCTGTGTTATCACAAATAAAGCACACTAAAAATTAAAACTTGAACAAATAACAAATAAAAGCTTAA